TGTGTTTAGTATATAACGGTTTTGCTATGAAGCCAACAGTTGGCTCCATAATGGAGCCAACCTTCTATATACAACAAGTAAACCTACTATATTCTTACTTAAATAACATTAATATAATTTTATTAATATGGTAGGTTTATTTGTTGTATATAGAAGGTTGACTCCATAATGGAGTCAACTGTTGGCTTCATAGCAAAACCGTAATATATAAACACATTTCCTTTGTAATTCTGACGCTTGAGTCCATTTTATACAATTACCAGAAAAGGAGTTTTATTTCCAATTTGTTCTCTATTTTTCTGTAATTTGTACATGGTATCCAGAGCCTAGATCTGTTGGTAGAGCTTCGATCGGCGATCTTATGGCATAATGTCCAGATAACAGGCTGCGAGATCGTCTTGTCGCACAATGATCCTCTTCATCTCTTGAGTTCCGATCACCCTGGAATGCATCTCGTTTCGATCCAGCTGAATGGTAACAACTTTCTCCCGTGGAGGCGAGCAGTCCTTATTGCCTTAGGAGCTAAAAACAAACTCGGTTTTGTTACTGGTAAGCTCACTACTCCTTTAGAATCAGATGAGGATTTTGATAAATGGAAAAAGGTGGATTATATGGTGACCTCTTGGTTGTTGAATACAATGTCCTCTGAAACTGCTGAAGGTTTTACTCATGCCGATTCAACCTTTCAACTTTGGGAAACTATAAATCAGCGATTCGGTGAGTCAAATGCACCTCTATTGTTTAGCTTACAGAAGGAAATAGCTAACATAAAGCAAGGATCATCTTCTGTGTTGCTGTATTTAATAAGCTGAATCGATTGTGGAATGCGCCACTTTAGCACCTCTACCATTATGCGACTGTGCTAAATCAAAGGAGGTACTGTTCATGGACTCGAGAAATAGGTTAATGCAGTTTCTCATTGGGCTAAATGAGACATATGACTCCATTAGTAGTCAGATTCTTCTCATGGATCAGTTACCAAATGTAAACAAAGCATACTCACTGGTATTACCAAAGGAAAGGAAGAGGAGTGTGCATTCTTTGTATCCTGATGCAACTGAGACAACTGCTTTGATATCTAATCAGAATAAGGACTATGGTAATAGAGGAAGGGGCAGATCAACCAGAGGAAGAGGACAAGGTTGGAATGGAGGAAGAGGAAGAGGTTTCACACCTAGAAAGTCAAAGGAGGAGAGAGCACAACTGGTGTGTGAACACTGTGGCTACAACGGCCATGAACAGAAAGAGTGTTTTAAAATTCATGGCTATCCAGATTGGTATAAGGAATACAAAGAGAAGTCTGGCAAGGTGTATGCTAATCAGGCAGAGGTTGGCTCTAATTTTTCTGGTGCTAAAGGGATTGACATGGAAAGCTTAGCACAAGAACTCATGAAATTCATGGGAGGAAAACAAAAGCTAGAAACTGCAAGCATGACAGAGGGGGTTAACTTTGCAGGTAACATTGCTGATCCTAACTTTCATTTTGCATTATCAATGTTTGAGGATTTAGGAGAGGGTTCTTGGATATTGGACACAGGTGCTAGTAAACACATGTGTGCTAGCAAATCACAACTTCATGACCTTATTGTTTTACCTAAGCCAATTGTTGTTTATCTACCTAATGGAATCTTGAAACATGTTACTCATAAAGGAAAAGCACTTATTAACAAAGACATTATCCTTACAGATGTCCTATATATTCCATCCTTCAAATTCAACCTGCTCTCTATTTCATAGCTTGCCCATGATTCAAATATTCAGTGCATTTTTACC